AAGAACTCATATAAATCAATATATCCTTAATTTTCAGTGCATTAAAAATTATAAATGGCGTAATCAAGGAATACTTGGTCAAATTACTCAATATTTTATTTTAGTAACAACATTACGGTATTTTAAACGCTCTAACTAAGGATAAATATCTTACTGAACTGGAAAAGTATGAAATTTCAACCCCTGTAAAAGTCAATTTACAGAATAGTTTGAATCTTACACGAAATTCCTAATAAACTTTGTAAGTAAAAAAAAAAGAAAACATCAATGAGTGAAACTATTCAATAACGTGAACTTTCTCTATATATATATATATTCTCCATTCCAACTTATAGTTTATTTACCGACCTCGTTAAGTTTTTCAACGAAATATATTTTCATTGGCTTGATTTCCTTTCACGCCGCGCAAAAGTTTCTAGAATATTATATTCCTACATCCAATGATTTGCCAACAGTTACTTACCTCTATCTTTTTTTTTATATACATTTCTACAGCAGCATCTAGGACTAATCCTAGCAAGCATTGACGCTATTAAGTTTTTTACCACATTGCATACAGCAATTAAACTAGAGCTTTTCATAAGATCACTCAATTTAAAAAGTTATATTTGGACGCAGTAATTAGTTTCACACTTTTTACTGGCAACTTCCGTCCTGTTTCACTACATTCCACGGACTGTACTGTATTTTGTCTTCAAGTACTGTAAACTTCTAATTTACTGTTCTAACTTCGTAAATACTACTTTATTCTATACATTCTGTTCATTAGTAACGTCATAACATATATACGATAACCAAAGACTTTTTCTCAAAAACGTTCACTCATAAAGTTTATTGATAAAAGATCAAAATTTGACATTCTTTAACTCTTTTATAACACAATTTAAAGTTAGCACAAATAGGAAGTTGTTTGTCTTAATAAAAACGTACAGAATAAACGGAGTTCAGTAAGCTATGCATAAACCTTGTGACTCGACATTACAATACTGAACATTATATTCCTACTAACTATTTTATTAAACTTAGCGTTTGTAACTTTGGCATAAGCATTAAGATAACTTGTTTTTTACCCTCTGATGTTCAGGTTTGAAACACACATACACAAACATAGAAATAAATTAAAATAGTGGCTCGAAAGGATTGTTGCTATTGCTTCTTTTAAGAAAAGAAACATTGTGATTTTCAATGAATGAGTCACATATTAACTCAGTGGTAAGTCTGTTAGCTTATAGCGTTAAAATCTGGGTTTCAATGCCCGTGGAGGGCACAGCACAAATAACTCATTGTGAGTTATGTACTTGAGTACAAACAAACAAAATCAACGCCCTATTGTTGCATGAAAACAATCTAATTAAACATTTAGCCTTCTAAAAACAACAACGAACTTTTTTCTACTTCGACAATAATATTTTATTTAGGGTTCAATTTTCCTATAAGTGTTGAATCATTGCTTAATCTAAGTTATATTTTAAAGTGAAAAGATGGCTCAGAGAAAAAAAAGAAATAAAAAACATGCTCTAGTAGTACTGTATCAACAATCATTAACTTTTGTCGTTTTTTATTTGTTTTTATAGCAGCACAATGACGCTATTGTTTTTTATCACACTGTAGATGGCTCTAATTCAATAATGTTAAACAAATAAAGTATGTTAACTATGTATATAAGAAGTAACTTGAATGCCTTTATTAGTAATTTCAGCCTTTTTCAATATAATGTCTACAACATATGCTAAACCATTTTAAATTTCAATGTTTGTTTTTAAATAACGTAACATACTTGAATTTATCTTGTCTGATGATGACAAAACCTTGTCGAAACGTTGTACATTTGCTGTTATGTTAAACTTATATTAAAGTTTTGCTTCATTACCCATTCAAGCCGTCTCCAGCCATTATTATATCTTGTCTATCCTTATGTGAAGGGGAAGCTGCATTACATCCGATGTTCCTTTTTATGAATATTGTATTTTTATGTTTTCATCTTTCGAAACTTGTCAGCATAACAAAGATTATAATTTTTGGCTGACACTTTCAAAGTGTCAAACAAAAACTCTGAAGCTGAGATCGTACCGCCCATGTGTTACTTATTATATTAAAAATTTATGCCTGTGGTTGAGATGGAAAGTATGTTTTATCACACAATTGGATATTTTATGCTTCTTTCTCGGCAAATGTTTTACATCAAAGTTCGAACCTGTAATTAACGTAAAGTAAATGTTGCCAATCATTCAACAATTCAGTTTAATAACTTACTTCTAACCATGCGATGTTCTTATAAACGTTTAAAAAACAATTAACAAGCAAAGTTATAGTTTACTTAATTTCTCGCCGTTTATTTGTTTGTTGTTAAGCGCAAAGCTAAACAATGGGCTATCTGTGCTCTGTCCACCACGGGTATCGAAAACCGGTTTCTAGCGTTGTAAGTTCGCAAACATACTGCTGTGCCACTGGGAAGGGGGAGTTTCTCGCGGTAAGATAACATAAAGCCAAAATAAAATACTGATGAGTTGCTTTTGAAGCTTTTGGTAAAGCATCACCTGGTGACTTAAGCTGAAGACATAACATCAGAATATAGTCATGATCCTTGGAGTTTGTATTTAAGGTGTGCCATAGCTCTAATTCAATGATGTTAAAACAAGTAATATATGTAACTCAAGTGCCTTTATTACTGATTTCACACCCCCTTCATCATAATGTCTGTAACAAATGCAAAACCATTTTAAAATGCATTTTCTTCAAACATAGTTTAAAGGTTTTAGTACCAAGACAGTTTATTTATATAACTGTCGATAGTAATTATATAAGATCAAGTTACTAATGAGTTAGATGCAGTTTATCCTTCTTACAGGTAGAAAAAAAACATGATTGATATAGATGTGCTTGTTGAAATGTTTCACGGTTTTAAGACACAATATACTTGCTACTTATGTGTTACGTACAACTTGCCAGATTTAGAGGTAAAAGCATAAAATGCAATAGGATAATTTCTTTTGTGTTATGTCCAATCGCCAGGTTCATCTTGGTACAGAAAATAAATAAGATACCAGGCTTGTTACTAATGTATTGGACCTAGTTTTTGACAATGAGATGTGGAAAATAAATACACAGATAACATTTCAACTTCTGTTGTATACCCTCTTCATAGTTTTTACATAAAAGATAAGGGATTTTGTACAAACTATCTAATAGAATGCTTCCTGTAATACATTGCAACAGACAAACATATTTGTCCACACAAGATGTTGACGTTACATATTTTAGATATCCATCAATATCTTGAACTTCTAGTATTGCTCTGCCATCTAGCGACAATAAATGTAACTGTTTAATTCTCGACTGTTATCACGATGTCTGAAATAATGGACAGAACAGATTAAAAGTCCGTTTCAAATGTTATTATAATCAATATATACATATATGACAATAAAAACACAAAGTTAAAGTTATGGGGCCTTGCACTGAAGAATAAATAATATATAGAATATAATTTATACTGACTGGAAACAAAATATATGGTAAAATCTATTTATAAATTCCAATTATATTCAAACATGAATTGTTAGTTTCAAACAACAGAATAATCACTTGATAACACGATAATTACACTTAACAGCTAGCACAACAAAATATATTACAATTTGTTGTCAAAGAGTCATCTTTTAAGCCTATTAGGTACGACAGAATTTAATCGATTAATAGTATTACCAATATTTCCCAAACTTACATATTATATAAATGCTATATTATATTATATAATATGCTTTAAAGGCGTGAAAAATGTTTTTGGAAACTTTCAGAAATTGGTTTTTTGTCAGCTCTTTTTTTTTAATTGATCAGTTCGTACAAGCACAAGGAGTACGACAACACCATAGAAAAGACGAGTTCTAGCCGTAAAACAAAACTTGCATTTAACCTATATAAAAGTCAGTGTGTGTTACATCATGCTTGATTTATCATAAAAGCCAAAATGCATTTATCCAGAGAGACAATAGTTCGATTACTGTCTATCCATTACGATTTTAGTGACGTGAGAGGGAAGGTACTGTGAAACCTTGTAAGTACAATGTTGGTATAATAAGCCTAAAGTAAATACTTAGCGTGGGATCACCTAGCCTAGAGACAAGTGTATAAAATTTATCATGAAAGTAAAAATATCGATCCAATTTTAAACTGAAATTGTTTCTGAATTAAACTATTTTCTGTTATATCACCAACGTTTTAAATAAAAAACAAACCCCTTTAATCAACAAGTATTTTTCCAGTTTTGTTGTCTATACATTTCATTTTATACTTTCAATACATAAACTAACAACAGTATTGGGTATACTTTTGTTGCTAAGCAACATGACATAAAGGCCATTTTTGGAACGCATTGTTACCGAAATGCACTGGCTTTTCTATATTAGAACTTGTTAATCTAACCGATATACTACAGGGTATATTATACTATGGAGTGGTAGTACTTGCCTCGTAATTTTTGATGGGCTATACATCTATAATAAAAGAGCGTGTCTGTCTCTCTGTGATTTCTATTGGTAGTATAAGAAAGTACTTCTTTTCTATGTGGTTTTTCGCTAGCTTGCCTCATTAAAAAAATGCGCATGTGCGCACACAAGTGGATGAGATAACTAATAATACCCAGATGCACATCTTCAGGATCCACTTATTATGGGTGCAAAATTTCAGGTTCCTAGGTTCTTTCCTATGGCGCTCTTTTATTATTATAGGTACTTTTGTTGCCAAGCAACATGGCATAAAAACCATTGTTGAAACGTAGTGTTACCAAATCGCACTGACTTTTCTATATATTAGAAGTTGTTAATCCAACTGATTTTTAACAATAATCACTCTATGAATACGCCACGAATTCATTCATGAATGATCTTAATTTTGATTGGCTCACGAAGGAACTTACCGACGTTTGACTGCTTCGACTGCAATTTTCTGCCTCTTTGTTGGTCAAGCTTGATTTCGCAAAATTTATTTCAGTTAGCTATGAAATGTGAGGTTAGGGTATACTATGGGGTGGGGTGGTAGTATTTGCCCCGTCATTTTTGACTGGCTATACACTGGTATATTACATAATAACCACGGATGGAAGTGTGGTTTTGTTCAGTTTCTCTTTTTTTATGTATTATTCTAAATTATAAAAAAAATAATGGAAATTTATGTAAATTAACGATAGGTCTAAATGTCCAACAATAGGTACTTGGAACAAGTACAAATTAAAAAATCGGGAGCAAAGAATAATCAACATTTATTACTATGTAATAAATAGCTTGATTAATTGTTTTTTTTTTAACTTTCAAAAATCTTTATCCGTTTGCAATGACAGACGTGTTAAAAGAGTTTTCTGAGTTTGCATTCTTCGTGATAACAACTTATAATTTACTTATCTCATCAAAACACACGTAGAAGTAGATACAGCATTACTAAGATTTTATAAAGAAAGATAAAAATTAGGGAAGAAATTCATAAGTATCATTAACCAAAAACATTTTATTAAATTGTCATCTTTGTTTCTGTATTTAAAAACTTAGAGCAATGATAAAATGGCTTTGTTTGCATTTCCTATCACAATTTTTGAAACGAGTTTTGCGCCATTTTTTCCTTCTTTTTCTTGTATCTCATTTCTAAGTAAGTGAACCAGTTAATTTGTTATCTGCCAGTAATTGAACACAAAGACTTATTCAGTCGCAGCCAAACATATTAGACATCAACTTAGGAGCGGATGTTTTTTTTAAAAGTTATGTTGCAGTAAGTTCATTCTGGCATAAATGCCACAGAAATTTATAAACGCTAATTGTTATAACATTACTTACACAACATCATGTTTATTACCAATTAATTAACAAATATTGGTAGTAATCTATAATAGCACCCATTTACACTAGAACCATATATATCCGTGAACAAGATCTTATTTCTATGTAATCGTTTTTCTTTATAGGGATCATTACTGACACAAATTGGTATTCATTAAGCAAACCCTTCAAAGTCTTACACAAAGAAATACATGTATATAACTGTTAAAATAGAGATATTACAATCAATTAGAGAAAAGCTATGTCAATTAATAATTATGGCTAAAAATGTATAGCAGAAATATTACACTTCACAATTATTTGGAAAAGTTGTTTTAGTTGTTTTTTAATAATATCATTTCCAGGAAGGCTGTGAGCTGAACCATTACCAGTTCATTCAGATGGAAACAATTCTGATAAAAGTTAACCCTTTTCAATACTTAAAGAAAATGTTTGATTCAATATCTTAACATTTCGTTGTTTTTTTTTTTTTTATTTATTATGCCACTGTTATCCAGATTTTCCTCCATATCGTTCACCAGAATCTGAAGACACGGTATTTACAAACCTTCTGTTAGGTGTGTTGAAAATGAATTGATAGACTGGATACCTGCGTAACATGTAGAACATGTCACCAGTTTTCTTTCTTCTAATCATATAATTTTCAAAAGAGACAAATTCATATGCAGTTAGTGCTTCAGTAGAGTCGCGATGGCGGGAAAATGTTCAAGTGTTTCGTCAGTGGAAGGACGAGGTGGAATCTGCACAAAAAATAAAAGGTGCAAGATATTCAATAATTTTACATAAGACTTGTTAATTTTTGTTTTATTTGATCTCAAGGTGGACTCAAAGAAGTAAAAACAGAAGTTTTAATTTTTCTTATAATTATTTTCTTTTGGTACGTTTTTTTAAATATAATTCAGTAACAATATTTCGCTTTAATATTTTGAAACAGGTGTAGAAATAGATCTAAAATGAAGTTCACACTGTTGCTATGAGTGGTAAGGTGTGAAATAATAAATAAAATGGAAAATCATGCAAGTTGTACGTGAAAAAAGAAAAAAATTTTTAACAGAATCACCTACAGTAAGATAATTTAACTACTACTTTAAAATTTCATGAATATAGCTTTTTTTTACAAAACATTAACTCTTTAAAATGAACACATTTAAACTTAAGCTTACTTGTATGAAGTGTGGCTTTTTAAAAAAGTACTATCTAATATCCTATAATTCTGTTGCAGGTGTGAAATCAAAGTTTTTTCTACATTGTAATTTTAGCATTGTTTTTTTTCTACAGAAGATTATCAAAGTTGGAAGAGAATTAAAATATTAATTGTTTTATTTTAAAACGCCTCCCAGATGTATCAGTGGTAAGAGTGAAGGCTTATAACATATATATATATAGTGTTCTGTCCACTACTGTGTTTGATTGGAATATTACATTCTTGAAAATCCCTAAGGGTCTAGATTAAGAATGTAGTGTTTGAAAACGTAATAGGCCTAATACTAACGTCTTATAACAAGTAAAATTGTAATCATTCTCCGCCGGCTTTAAAAGGCTCTTCAGCTTCTCTGTTATTCTTTTGTCCTAACATTATTATTATTTGCGGAAATTAAACAAATATAGCCATGCTAAAATTTTTACTGTTTATTAACATTGTTTGTGCAATAATAAGTTTGATTTGAGATCAATATAAACGCATATGTTTAACGATCTATTTCAGTGTCCTTTGTTTCATCTTCATTGTTTCGCTCCCTACATAAAAAGCGCTTTACAGCTTCACTTAAAACTCCTTTTGTCGAGTTTGACTCAGGGTCACTCACTGGGTCAGTACCTTGTCTAGTGATTATTCTATTGACTGGATACTTTTATTAGTTACACTAAAAGGTTAATACTTAAAAATGCCTACCTTACTAATTAAAGTTTCAGAATTTAATGTTGGCAGTCGAACTGACCATCCTTCCTCTCGAGAGTTCTTCTTGAGTAGCACGCTCTCGACGGATTCACTAAACAGGTTTCCTTTACGGCCATCCTGCTGACCAATAGCGTTAAGTTGCGGCAAACTCAGGGCTTTGTTATATTTTCCGAATGTTTTCTTTTTCTACAGAACAATAAACCTGCTGTACGAAACCATATTGTAATTGAAGGAAAATATCAGCAGACACTTGTAATATCAAGAGAATTTCAATTACGTAACAGAAATCTTTATCAGAAACTTGTATGTAGACATTTTTCGAGTATTAGATATGACAAATAGCTGTATCACAAAGTAAAAACACTGGTAAACTGTCGTCAACCTCACATTTTCTTTTTAGCAACACAAAAAAACTGTATGAGTGCAAAGATAAAGAACTTGGAACGTATATATAGATATATACATAAGATGTTTCGCCAAAGAACTATAGTTAATAAAAGTTAAAAAAAAAGACAAGATATGACTAAAACTCGTGTACACTTTTATGTGTATACAGAAATATATATATATATATATATATATATATAAATATTTCGTTCATAATATACATCGTTATTGTGCAAAAAAATTATTATACTGTTGCGTCAGCGAGGTCACGTGACTAGTGTCACGCCACGTTTTCTAGAAATATCCTGTTCCTTCGTGAATGCCCTAGCATTTACTAGATTGGGGATAGTCTGGTATATATAAGATGGTCACAACGTGACGGAAACAGTGTAGTATTGAGTAATTGAACTGTAGTCAGAGAAAATATTGTTAGCCACGTGAGATATAGCGTTTGTTATAGCGCGACTGTTGAAACTAAGTGTATCGTAAAGTTGTATTCGGAAAGAATAAACCAGTTTTATTAAGGAAAGACTTGTGTCGCTAAAGTTTCGTCGGAACGAAGTTACGGAAAATTAATTAACGACTGGAGGCGTAACAATAGTTACGTTTAGGTATTTGAATAACATAAAACTATACTGTCATTCATGGTTACACATTTGTTGAGGAGAAGAAAAGTTCACAATCAAACTTCCTACTTCTTAATTAAAAATCAAATAGTTGGTACGAGTTTTTCAAATTATGATTTGTACAATTGTTGTCATACTTTGAACTAATTTTGCTACTATGGTACTTGGTGTAAATGTTAGGTGATTAAACTTTCAGTGTAAACTTGATTAAACTTGATGATTAAACTTGCAGTATAGTGTATTTTACAATTGTTGAAAGAAACATTTTGAAGGGACAAACCAAACTCAGATAATTAGTGGACCAGCAAACCAAATATACTCCATTTTCACATATCTCATTCTGATTCCGTTTTTTGTACCATTTTCTATGGAATACATTGAAAAAAGGCTGGATAAATCGTTAAAATCCTGCGTCAAAATATAACGCTAATTTATTTATTGCCCCCCAGAGGCACAGCAGCATGTCTGCGGACTTACATCACGAGACACCGGTTTCCGATAACCGTGGTGGGCAAGAGCACAGATAACCCATTGTGTAGCTTTGGGCTTGATTTCAAACAAACAAACAAATTTAACGAAATAGTGTGGAAAAATAACTTGACTGCCGTATTAGATATATTTCCGTATTTCATCTTTACATTTCTCCTCGTATCATTGATGCTTTCCTAAAAATTGGTTAAGTTGGTCCGCTAGTTTTTAGTTCGCTCCTATTTTATAAGTGCCTTCATCAAGATGCATGAGATCTGAAACCTAATGACAATATGAGCTTAAAAACAAGTAACATACCCAATTAAAGTTTTATTAAGAAATACTGTAAAATAGGTCTTTAACTTTCCTGGTAGTAATAGTTGTTTAAATGCTGGTAAATGGTTTAAGTGGTAAATGAAAGTAATCTACAACGAAAAATGTATTAGTATTTATGGCAAACCTACAAAAGCTACCTACCGTTTGTATTTATGACAAATATACAAAGGCTATCTACCGTTTGTATTTATGGCAAACATACAAAGGCTATCTACCGTTCGTATTTATGGCAAACATACAAAGGCTATCTACCGTTCGTATTTATGACAAATATACAAAGGCTATCTACCGTTTGTATTTATGGCAAACCTACAAAGGCTACCTACCGTTTGTATTTATGGCAAACCTACAAAGGCTATCTACCGTTTGTATTTATGGCAAACATACAAAGGCTATCTACCGTTCGTATTTATGACAAATATACAAAGGCTATCTACCGTTTGTATTTATGGCAAACCTACAAAGACTACCTACCGTTTGTATTTATGGCAAAGATACAAAGGCTATCAACCATTTGTATTTATGACAAATATACAAAGGCTATCTACCGTTCGTATTTATGACAAATATACAAAGGCTATCTACCG